AGACTTCTGATATAACTTGTGGAAGGAGGCTGCTCCCAACTATTTGAAGGTAGTACCTTCTGTATATTGCCAGGAACTAAGAGGATACTGTCAAGCTCTGCTGTTTTGTAGTCTGTATCACAAATTGATGGCTTTTAATATTTGCTTTCCAAATATAAATATATATTATAATTGATATGCTATTTCAACCCACTCATTTCTCCCCTCCTTCTGGAGTTTCTGATATATACCACCCCCCACCTGCCCCCAAATGTATCCAATTCACCATTTGAGAATCATTGTTGTGGTCTTTGTGTTTAACAATTAAATCAATTTTTTTTCTCTTTTTTTAATAGCATGACTATATTACAAGTTATTCAGTAATTTCCCTATTAAGATTGTTTCAACTTTCTATCACTGTAAAAAATGCCCCAATAAATATTCTCTTACATATGCCCATAGACCAGAGGATCAGTCTCTTGTATAGAGTAGGTTTTCTTTAGTCAAAGGTATATTAGTAGCTGTCCATCTCTGCTAGACCTTCCAACCACACAGACTCCCAAGACAAGGTTTTATTTTATTTTATTTTATTTGTCCTTTTTGAGACTGGCCGCACCGCGCTCAGCCAGTGAGCGCTGTGAGCGTACCTGCAAGACAAGGTTGAGTAAACTGTTCATCTTGCACCACACCAGTCAAGGGCAGAACTTTTCTTATACCCTCATCTTTTAGAGGTGACTGTCTTTTTTTTTTTTTTTTTCCTTTTTGTCTTTTTTACTGACTGGTAACGGGAGCGCAACCCTTGGTGTTGCGCCCGCACCGCGCTCAGCCAGTGAGCGCTGTGAGTGTACCTGCAAGACAAGGTTGAGTAAACTGTTCATCTTGCCCCCCACCAGTCAAGGGCAGAACTTTTCTTATACCCCCATCTTTTAGAGGTGACTGTCTTTTTTTTTTTTTTTCCTTTTTGTCTTTTTTACTGACTGGTAACGGGATCGCAACCCTACGTGTTGCGCCCGCACGGCGCTCAGCCAGTGAGCGGGAACTGGTCTCCACATGGGATCCGAACCCTCAGCGGGAGCGCCTCCGCACTCCCAAGCGGCGCACTCTCCAGTGCACCACTGGGCAGGCCCTAGAGGTGACTGTCTTTAAATCAAAAGAAAAAAATATAGCTATTTAATAAAATAAATTTTTTTAATGATCCTAAGGCTGGGTTTTTCAAATTGCAGATTCAAATTCATTAGTAGGTCATGAAATTGTTTTAGAGAGCCACTATCAGGGTTCTTTTAATGAAATAGGATAGAAAATATCAGGGAGCATCATATGTAGTAAAAGTAGGATTATTCCACAAAACTTTGGGTTCAGTTACAGATCTATAAACATATGCATATACAGGGCCACCACATAAAATATATTTCTTACTCTGGTCACAGTCAAAAACTTTGAAAAAAAACCACTTAAGGTTTCTGAGGAAAACCTAGTGGTTCTGGAAAATGTAATTGCTCATAGTAAAAATACGCAGTGAAGGGGGTTGTATGTCAGTTTGCATTCTCTGTGCTTCTCACTGCACGTTGGGACTTGCCTTCCCACCTAATCATAGAGCACAGCTGTTGCACATGAGGCATCTGGGCAGTGTCTGCAGACTCCAGGCCCAACCTCCTCAAGAACCCCCTAGGTCCAAAGCCTCAGCAAAAACTTTAACATAGACACACTCTCCTCCCCACCCCAGCCCTGGCTGGATGCCTTCATTAGGTTACATGGACTTTTAAAAGCATATGAAAAATAGCATGCTTATTCTAAATGCTTAGGACTATATGTTCCAAACACACTCATTAACAGATAGAGAACTGAAGCCCAGAGCAATAAAGCAACATGTTCTGGATCCAGAATAGCAGATCCAAAACTAAAACAAGTCACTATGTTGCCAACTGTAGGATTTTTTTTTATTATATAATTAATGTGCAGTGTAGGAAAATTAGAAAATACAGATGAGCAAAAAGATGAAAAATACACATATACATTCTTTCATACAAAAATTAGATTATAACATGAGCATTTTTGTAACTTGATTTTTTTCATTAGTATGTTCACATATTTTAAACATCTTTCCACATCAACAAATATACTTCTACCTCGGTGTTTTTCATGTTCTTTAGTCTTCCATGGTACCATAATTTTACCATTCCCCTATTGTCCAATATTTGTTTCCAATTGAGGAAAAAAATAGGTTTTTAATTATAGTATTTTAAATTCATTTCTTATTTTGGGATTAAAAGATTTTGCTTCTAATCACTGTTTGTTATTAATTGTCCACAGAGGCATGAATACCTTAAATGATTTCCTGAGTTTGCTCAATAAATCTCCTTTGCCACCATCATGTAAGACAGTTGCTTATTCAAAGTAAATATTCCTTAGTCATATACTTCAATTTTACAAACAAACTTACAAATGAGGGGTGGGTCTTTCCTTTTTTATCATTCAGTTTATAAATTCAAGAATATGGGTTTCCTTGGTAACAATAGATGGCAGGGCTAGCACCGAGGCAGGGTAGGAATTTGTACCACTGTGGCATATCCGAGCAGTGATTCTGGAAAAAGATGTGGTTGTCATCAGATGTTATGTATATCAGGGTTTTATTTTTAGAACCAAAAAGAATTATCCACAATTAATTAATCAGAAAATGTTTATTAAGCTTCTGTTCTGTTCCAGACACATTGCCAGGCCATGGAGATAGGTATTAGGGTAAAGCAATCTAGTGGAGGAAATTGGCATTGATCAGATAATCATCCTATTGAATACATAATGATGAAGATAAGTATTCCAAAGCAGAAGAGCATAGTGGTGTGAGCACACTGACCTGGACTGGAGTCAGCAGTGACTTCCCCAAGGAAGTATTACTTGAGCTGAGCTCTGATAGACAAATAGGCACTAATCAGGTGGGAAGGAATGTTCAAAGTTTTCAAAAATAGAAGGAGCATGGCAAATAAAGACTGAAAGAAGGACAGTGTGGTTGGAGCACAGGGTAAAGAAGTGCGGCTAGGGGCCGGCCCGTGGCTCACTCGGGAGAGTGCGGTGCTGATAACACCAAGGCCCCGGGTTCGGATCCCACATAGGGATGGCCGGTTAGCTCACTGGCTGAGCGTGGTGCTGACAACACCAAGCCAAGGGTTGAGAGCCCCTTACTGGCCATCTTTTAAAAAAAAAAAGAAGTGCAGCTAGACCGTGCAGGGACTCATAGGCCATGGTGAGGAGACTGATTTGGGGGACTTTAACCTGAAAGCTGTAGGAAGCCATTGAAAAGTTTTAGGCAGGGGATAACAGAAATGTCCCAGGGACATCTTTAATTTAACATGTACAAAATCCCATTTAATTATCCCTCTTCTTAATTTCCCAATTTCTGTAACTGGCACTACCATTCTTCTAGTTACTCAATTTAAAACTGCCTTCTCTCCCTTTATCCTTCACCCAAGCAGTTATCAGTTCATTCCTAAATTTCCTATTCTGTTTTCACAGTAATAAATACACTCAGTCAGTGTCATTCCTGCTGTCCTCATTTCAGTTTAAATCCTCTACCTCTTGCCTGGATTATTATAGTAGCCTTGTAATTGGCCCTACCTCTCTTCCTACCCACTGTCACCTTTTCCCCCAAACAAACTGAGGATAACTTCCTACCCATCCTTCAAGGTCCACTTTGACCCCCAGTAGTGTGGTCTCACCTTCATTTAGGTACTCTCAGTACTTTGTCTGACTTCTTTGAACCCTGATATTAATCAGCTTCAATAGTGAGATTCTGTTCTACTATCTTCTATTTCCTATGATAAGTAAATACTGCCTTGCATATAGTGCTGTTCAATAAGCCTTACTTAGAATGGATTGAGGCTAAAATGGACTCTCTGCTCTACTTTACTTAGAACAAGCATTCCCTGGCTGACTTCCACTAGGCTCCTCAAGCTAGGAAATAGCAGACAAGCTTTGCAATGTGCCATGTCATGCCCTCTCTTTCCAATGTTGTACTCTGGTCCTGCAGAGAAGGGCAGGGATAATGTTACTTTTTTTTTTTTCCCCTTTTTGTCTTTTTTACTGACCAGTAACGGGATCGCAACCCTCGGTGTCACGCCCGTACCGGGGACCAGTAACGGGATCGCAACCCTCGGTGTCACGCCCGCACCTCGCTCAGCCAGTGAGCGGGAACCGGTCTCCACATGGGATCCGAACCCTCGGCGGGAGCGCCTCCACGCTCCCAAGTGGTGCACTCTCCAGTGCGCCACCGGGCCGGCCCTTACTTTTTAACCTGTAAAGGACATGGATCTTTCTTGAACAGTTTAGAAAATCAAAGCAGAAAATGTGGAGTGACGTGAGAAGTACCTTAGAGCTTATAATAGGCCAGTTGTCTGTGATAGATAAACACCCACAAGGAGGCATAGCTACTAATTAGAGGGGGCAAAGGACTGTGTGTGGCCTTAACCACATGGGTAGGGGTGGAAGAGTTTCCTGACTAGTAATTCAGGAGTCCTCTAAAAATAGGACTTCATTCACTCTGGCTTTTGATGAAGTAGGCATTGATGAGGTAGGCATTTGATGAGGAGTATCCCTGAACGGATTGTGCACAGCACTTATTGGAGGAGCTTTTCTTCAATCACAAGTGCTGAAGTGTGTTGCTGCAGCCTTGAGTCTCCTTATGGGATAAAGGAGAAACTTGGGCTCTGAAGTCTCTGACTATTTCCAAGTATCAGAGGCCTGGGACCCCTGGACGTTATCCTTACAGCAGGCCTGTGAAGTGGGCTGGGCAGATATCCCTCATTCCATAGATGGGAAAACCAAAGTCACAGGACCAGTGAGATGTAGAACCAAGGTCTTCTAACTTCTTAACATGTTCTCTCTCCACCCACCGTGCTACTGAGTTTTGGAAGACAGAGAAACTACTTAATAGTTTCCACTAATTGCCACTTAGGTGAAGGACTGAAACCAATTGGCCCAACATGCTCAGCCATTGGCTAAGTCTGTGCCCCTCTGCTTTTTGTCCACAGAACCATGGGTGTGTTGATGTCTAAGCGGCAGACAGTGGAGCAGGTGCAGAAGGTGAGTCTGGCTGTGTCTGCCTTCAAGGATGGGCTGCGGGACAGGCCTTCCATCCGACGCACGGGTGAGCTACCAGGGTCCCGCCGTGGCACTGTAGAGGGCTCTGTCCAGGAGGTACAGGAGGAGAAAGAAGCAGAGGCAGGCACCCCAGTGGTGCAGGAGGAGAGCAGTGTCAACCGTGCAGCCTGGGAGCGGCTCCGAGATGGGCGTGGAGTGGAGCCTGAGGAGTTTGATAGAACCCGTCATTTCACACCCCCGGCCTTCATCCGCCCCACCCGGAAGCTGGATGATGACAAGTCTCCAGATATCTGCTTGGATCCCAGAGAGCCTGTAAGTTTCCGGTTAGGGCAGGATCCTCACGTCTAGCCCTCCTGAGGTTCAGGGAGCAGGACAAGGAGGCCTGAGTATGACTGAGATGAGACTGAAAAACACAAAGATGGAGCTGAGTCCAGAACAATCTTTGAATTTCTTCTACAAGTATAAAAATGTTAGTTACATCCTGGATTAGTCTTCATGAAAGACTTGGGGCCGAGGGTGATAAGCAATGACAGCATGGCAGGTCTTCTGCCAAGGCTCCCACCCATGGTTTCTCAACCACAGATAATACTACCCCCTGTAGGAGCCATGTGGAAATTTGGGAGGGGGGAGTTTGGGGAGGTAACAATGACTGGGGGTTGCTACTGGTGTTTGGTGCCAAGAAAACCAGGGATGCTAAATATCCTGCAATGCCTGGGACAATCTTTCACAACAGATTGTTCTTTCCAAAAATGCCAATAGCATACCTGTTCAGAAACATGGTCACAAAGGCCTGAACAGCTGGAAGAGCCTCCTAGGTTCTTGTCCTCCAGAAAGGAAGTTCTACTGCCTTAACACGGGCTTCGGTTGGAGCTGTTCCTCTGGGCTGCTCTAGGGACTCAGCCCCACTCAGGTAGCTCTGTGCTTAGTGGCTATAGGATCTTTCTGCTTGTGCTTACACATCCTTATACGTTGTGTTCACTCCTGCCATCTTTCCCCAGGTTGTCAACGATGAGATGTGTGATGTCTGTGAGGTCTGGACAGCTGAGAGCCTCTTCCCATGCAGGGTCTGCACCAGGGTTTTCCATGATGGCTGCCTGCACCGCATGGGCTACATCCAAGGAGACAGTGCAGCAGCGGTGACCAAGATGGCCCACACAGAAACAGGCTGGAGCTGCCACTACTGTGTGAGCCTGGACTACAGGGACAGTGGGCTTCTGTACAGCACAGGACTTGGCAATTTGCCTGGAGGCCCAAGAACACTTGTTTCTAGGCAGTGACCTAAAGAGTTTTCTGATAGTACACACAAAGGTCCTAGAGCTAGGATGGGGTTTCTCAACCTCAGCAGTATTGACATTTGGGGCTGGATAATTCTTTGTATGGGGGCTGGGTGCATTGTAGGATGTTTAGCAGCATCCCTGGCCTCTACTAGATACCAGTAGCATACACCTGAGTTGTAACAACCAAAAACGTCTCCAAACATTACCAAATGTGTCCTGGAGGGAGGAAAATCACCCCCAGTTGAGAACCACTGACATGGAGGATTGACAGGATAGAATGAGGAGGCCTAATTACACAAAAGCAATTCCACTTGGACTAGTGCTTTCTCTAATAGTCTATAGTTGCCATTCATTCTACTCGTCTGAAAAACCAGCTTGCTTCCAATAGGGATAGATTCTATCACAGGAAAACTTCTTAGTCCTGAAATCCTCACTTAGCCTACTACCTGATTCTTAGAAGAATTTATTGTTCATCTCTGAAGTGGTCATTCTGGGAATTAAATAGCAAAGCTCTATTGATTCAGAACATTGCAAATTATATATAAATGCCTTCCAACTTTTAATGAAGGACAGATAAAAGGTTTCCATGAAAGTCAAATTTATATCCATTTCTTACCACACCTGAATAGAGTTCAAGTCTTGCCTTATTGATCTATTTTCCTACAGATATCTTTATTATTCACTGATTTCAAAGCAAGGAGAATCTGCTGATCCCACTTTTCTTCCTACTGCCTAGAAGAAAGCAGAGATGTACTACTTTCTACCAGATAACTCTTTCTCTGTGGCTTTTCCATAAAATGGAAAAATCACAACGGTGATTTCAGCCACTTAAAGACCTTTCCCCCTGGTGCATGCCACAGCAGACTCTGCTGTACACATGGCCTCCCCCCTCCAGATGCCAGCCTTTTCATTCACAGCAACTCTGTGGCATGCTGCTGATGTGGGACTGGGTTGAAGGTGTCTCTCTCCTAACCACCAGGAACACACTGCCCGCTTCCTGGCTTTCTTTTGTCACAGTCCTGCCACCGACACCTCCATTCTCCACCTGGCCTTTCACAAGGGCTTCTTCTGAGCTCCTCCATCTCCTTCCCTTCTCTTCATAGCCAGGCTTCTTAAAAGAACTTCATCATCTCCTTGTGGCTCCTCAACCACCTATATTCCAACTTCTGTTTCTATTGTCCTGCTGAATTGACTCTTCCTAAGGTCACCATTTACCTCCCAATTGTCAAGTCCAGTGACCTTTTCTCAGGCCTCTCTGACTTGACCTCTCTGAAGTATTTAGCATTTCCTCATTCCTCCCTCATTTTTTTAGGGTCTGAGTATTTTTTATGAGAATTATTACACAAGATATGGAGACTAAAGAATATAAAAAAGCAATAAAAGTCCCACCACACTGTTCACATTACCTCCCACTTTGTGCCTTTGTCTACTGATTCCCCTCCAGCCTTCTTCTCTGACCGTTCTTTCTCAGTTCCCTTAGTTTCTTCTCTCAGTCCTAAGTGCTGGTGTTTCTCAGGGTTCTGCTGTTAACACTCTTCCTTTCTCACTATACGCTCTCTCTTTGGGTGACTTCATTCTACAGCCCCCATCTAAACACTGATGACTCTCATATATGTGTGTCCAGACTTAAATTTCCTGTGTCTTGAACTTATTCCTCTTCATGTCTCACAGGTACTACACACTCAACATGCCCCAAAATGGACTCATACTTCTTCCATTCCGTATCTCTGTGAATAGTAATACCATCCCCCCAGTTACCAATCCCAGCTCATTTCTCTCCCTCGTCCCTCACATCCAGTAAGTGAACAGGTCCTGTTGATGCTACCTCTAGTATCTCTCCCATCTCTCCCCTTGTCCATTCTCATGTCTTAGTTTAGCCACTTATCTTTTCTTACCTGTACTATTACAACAAGCACCTAACTGCTCTCCATGCCTCCAGACTTTGCCCCTCTAATCCATTTTCCACACGGCATTCAGAGATCTGACCATGGCACTTTCCACATAAAAACCCTTCAGTTTTTTGCCCTCAAAATAAAGGCCTAATTTGAGGGGCTCAATAAAGGACATTTGCGGTGCTTCACAGTTAGGCTTCTGCCTACCTCTCCTCTCTTATCTTAAATCATTCCTCTCTACCCTCCTCCACACACACTCATATGTACTGTATGCTTCAGCCACACTGCACATGTGACAATATTACCCACCATTATGGTGCCCAGCATGTACTAGATGCTCAGTAGGTATTTAGTGAAAGAATGGTTTGATTCCTTTATGAAATTCACAAATGAATACTCATGAAATATCTGCCCCCATTCTTTGCTGGTATTTTAGGGAAAAAATTAACCTACTAGAAAGAATCTCTAATGTTAATAACAAAATAAGATATCACCACTCATTTAGAACTAAAACTTCCATGGCATCATGAAAAACTCATTTGGTGTTGGGAATCTTGTATGATGGCATTTCTTTCAGAACCATTCTGTAGTTGTTTTAAGTGGTAACCCACTAGGAACAGAGCTAGAATTAAACTTTTTTTTTTAAACTAGAGTACTCTTTGAGCACAGCCTAACACAGAAGCCAAATACATAAAGTGGATAAAGATGGAACTGCTCTGTTGATGGAGGTAGGAACTCACAACCCTACCCACCCACTAGCCCCCTTCTCCCCTGCAGCCGTTTCCTAAGGCACTTCCAAAAAATCCCTGGGTTAGCTCAGAGGATAATTTGAAAACCACTTTTTCAGTAAAATGGACTCAAGGCTGGAGTAAGTATATCTGAATTCTAGGGAAGATCCTGCCCCAAAGTTAAGGCAACTCTGAGCAAGTCCTTTCCCTTTTGGGGGTCTTCAGTCTTGATTATGAATGAGACATTGGGATTAGATGGTCTGAGAATTGCCTTTTAGTTGAAATACTGTTTCTTTTTTTTTTTTCTTCTTTTTTTTTGTCTTTTTTACTGACTGGTAACGGGATCACAGCCCTCAGTGTCGCGCCCGTACCGGGGACCGGCAACGGGATCGCAACCCTCGGTGCCACGCCCGCACCGCGCTCAGCCAGTGAGCAGGAACCAGTCTCCACATGGGATCCGAACCCTCAGCGGGAGCGCCGCCGTGCTCACAAGCGGCGCACTCTCCCGTGCGCCACCGGGCTGGCCCTGAAATACTATTTCTATTCCTCTTGATCCTTGGCCTGCCTTTCTTACTGGCCTGTATGGCAACTGACTCAGCTCTTCCTTTTTTTTCAGGACAACCTCAACTTGCTCCTTACTGAGGAGGAAATGTACAGCCTCACAGAGACCTTTCAGCAGTGTAAAGTCATCCCTGGTAAGGCTGGACAGTGCTGCCAGGATGGAGAGGGGCTGGGCAGATTTCTCCTTCATACTTTCTAGGATGAACCATGAAAGGAGTATTTTGGGATTTGGGAGGTAGGGGGTAAATGAGTTCTTACTCCCGAGTTGTTGGCTAGCAGAGGCCCCTACCCCCTGTCACAGCCTGAGTTACCCTGGCTATGGGAGGCAAAGACTCAACAAGCGCTGTGAACACGGGGGCACTGAGGGTGCCCTGGAGGTGAGTGGAGGTGCCCCAAGGCTGAGGAAGGGTCAGCATGGCCAGCATGGGGTACCTCCCACAGATTGCTCCCTGACGCTGGAGGACTTTCTGCGCTACCGCCACCAAGCAGCAAAGCGGGGGGACAGTGACAGGGCCCTGAGCGAGGAGCAGGAGGAGCAGGCAGCCCGCCAGTTTGCAGCTCTGGACCCTGAACATCGAGGCCACATAGAGTGGCCTGACTTCTTGTCCCATGAGTCCCTCCTACTTCTGCAGCAATTGCGTCCCCAGGTGAGGGCCAGCTGGGGCAAATGTCCATGGGATACTGGGTGACCAAGGCCTGGGAAGCATGCAGGGCATGTTGGGGGAAGCACTGGGTACTGTCTGAGCAGGGGCCAGTATTAGGAATGGGCTCAGGTTTCATCCATTGACAGGTGATCTAGTGCCCAGGCTGGGGAAAATGCCCAAAGAAAATGGATTTGCACTGCACCACACTGAAAATGTTGGTTCTACCAGAAGGGCTCTGGGTAACTTCTAAGGGAGGTGGCAAAGATGATAATGGAGGTAGGATTCTCTATGGCTTGACAGTTTACAAGATATTTTCAGCTCCAAGATCTTAACTTGTTTCTTCTTCCCCAGAACTCTTTGTTGAGGCTTCTGACAGTCAAGGAACGGGAACGAGCCCGAGCCACCTTTCTGGCACGGGGCAGTGGGAACACCATCAGCGAGACAGATTGCCGCCGTGCCCAGCACTCTTGGTTCTGCAAAGGCCTTGCAGAGGTTCCTTCCTGTAGTATCAGGTCCGCTCCTTGCCAGGCCCTGTCCCACTCAGCCTCCTCTCCTCCTTTTTCCATGCCAGTGGCCCTTGGTGTGGGAGGTCTCTCCTTGCTTCTCCTGCCAATAGCCAGGAGAGTATCCTCTCATGCATTAGGCAGAGGATGGTGATTCCTGTTGTCCAGAGTATGGGGCAGCCGCCACTCCCAACTCCATGTTGCCCCATGTGATAAAAGCCTGGACATGCACATCAAGAGCCATGGGTTCACCAGCATTTGCAAACTGCCATGCCTTTCACTATCCAATTCCTAACCACATGTCCTTGTACTCAACAGCATCAGCCATGTGGGTCCCATAGACAGCAGCCCGGCCAGTGGGAGCAGCAAGAGTCAGGACAAGGCCCTGCTGCCCACAGAGCAAGAGTCCAGGTGAGAGGGACCTCTTCAGCTGGCTGTCTGTATCCCCCACCCCCAATACACACACACAAGTAAAAGAGGGCATTACCATACACTGCCACCCCAAAACAGCAAGTACCCAACCCAGAAACCAGGTACCAAGAATGCACGTTTTAAAATGTCCCCATATCCTCAGGGCTACCCAGCTTGTCTGTTGGCTTGGCAACCATGTCAGGCATGAGCCAAGGCTTCCCTGAGTTTTTCCTAGCCAAGCCAGGCTGCCACTGGAATCAGGTCTGGTGAGCCTTCAGGTGCCGCAGCCAGCCTCACAAACCTGTTCTTTGCTTCTACTCCAGATTTGTGGACTGGCCCACCTTCCTGCAAGAGAATGTCATCTACATCTTGGCTGCTCGCCCCAACAGCGCAGCCATTCACCTGAAACCCCCAGGATAGCATGAAGCAAAGAAGCTCAGTTTGGGGACAGTGGCATCCTCTCCCTCCTTTCCTTTCTCCCTTTCCCTCACCAACCTCTGGCTCTGAGACTCATGGGGATGGGGCTTTGCCAGCATCTTAATTTGTCACTAAACTTTATGGCACTGAAATCATTGGTCCCCCTCCTAACAGTGGCAGTAGTAAGTGCACTGCCACGGGAAGAAGCCCTGGGAGCTGGGGCAGCATACACTCCTGGATCCCCCTGTCCTCACATCATAGACTGGACCTGCTACCAGATGTATATATGCGTACGTGCACACACGTGCACACACACACTCATGCGCACCTACAGAAGCCTGGTTCTTTTTGGTAGAAAAAGGACCAAAGTCCCTTTGTGAAGCCCCTGGTGTAGATGAGGGGGTCTCTAATGCCCAAAGAATGCCTTCTATTGGCCAGTTCTGATTTCCAGTATATAAATCTCTGGCCAAGTGATTCTTAATAAGGGGGCATATCAGACTCACATGCCTTCCTGGAAATGCTGACAGTCCCCCTCTGCCTCATTGATAATCCCCTCTGTGGTGAGCCACTTTACTAGTAGTTGTATACTATGTCCCCTGGCTGTGTTAGGGTGTTGAAAACCACCACTGCAGTTAAGCCTGTTATCTATTTAAATTCCAATTCCTGGTACGGAGAAGGCAACTAACCTATTGAATCCTAATTGGAAAAGTGGAAGGAAGCCCCTCCCAGAGACCCAGAATTCTAGGCACCTGTCAGCCAAGTCACCTAGGTCCAAAAGTCTTTAGCAGAACAGTCATAACTTAAGAGTGAGCCCTCCTGGTCCCTGTTTTTCAGATGGTAGCTCACAGCCCAATGCCCAAGGGGCCTAAATAGAACAAATACACTGGCAAGAGTCACAGCTCTCTGTGTTAGATGCTTCACTCAAATCACCTACCGTAGAAACCAATGAGGAGACAAGGTCTGGATGGAAGAGGAGAGGAAAGGACCCATGCTTTTCCATTGTTCCACTTCAGCTCAACTGCAGACCTACGAAAGTCTGCCATCGTGTGGAGAACAGAGCCAGCCTCTTCCACAGCTCAAGAAAGCAGCTCCACAGAAGCCCTGAGCAAGACTCCTTTCAGCCATCCTGGCAATGAGGATAGGAGACTGGGGCTTAAGAGGGGAATTTGCATCTCAGCTCTCTCAAACAAAAGGTCTGGTAAAGCCTCACAGAAGGTTTCCCCTTCTCCCTGTCAGTAAGACGTGGCCCACTGCTCACAACATGTCCTTACCTACTAGGCTAGGGTCTGGGCCTAGCATGGGAAGACTTTGGGGACAAGTGGAGGCTGTCACAAGGGCACCACCCAGGTCTCAAAGGCCCTTCTCAAGTCAGTGCATGTTGTGGGTCAGCCCTGGCCCTGGGGACCAGATTCTTGCCAGGTATGACTACCAAGAGTTACTCAAGATGTGTTTGAGCTCAGCCGTGCAGAACCTAACATGTCTGCATTGCTCAGGACACTTGTACTAAGTTGGGTGCTTATAGAAGAAGGAGCATAACACTCAGTGTTGAAGTGCTCAGAGGAAAGTGGGGAGCTGCAACCAGGGGCTTGGTAAGAGCCCTGTATGGTGTCCTCCTGTAGGAACTGCCTGACCTAAATGCAAGGTGATAAGTTGCTGGGGTTAGATTATTTAGAGCCAAAATGAAGCAGACAGGAGTCAAATCTGGGTTCATATGTATGGCCCTGAACATTTCAAAACCCACAGCGTTTTATAAATACTCCTCAGCCTCATTCCCAGGACTGATCAGTAGGAGGAGCCATTACTCAGTCTAGTCACACACAAAAAAAAGCAAGCACATGACTCAGGCCCAAGGACTGCATCTGAAGCACCCAGGCCTGGGATTTTGCACTGAGAAGATTAAAGCACATTAAGCACAGGGGCTCTTGCTTACTCTCCTGGTGAATCACCCTCTGTGCCAGTGGCCTTGGGCTGCTTAATCTCACAGCGCATTTTGAGTAGAGACAAGTTCTGGACTTTGATAGCTGAACAGGTTTTTCTCCTGCCTCCTCATCAAGGACTGGAAGTACATTTTCTTGTTCCCTGATCCTTCACAGATCAAGGTATGCCTACCGCTCTGGATCTGCTGCTTCTAGCTCTCTGTGTGTGAGTGGTGAGAGACTGTGGGCCAGATTAGGCCTGCTGTATCCCAAGGCCTGGCAAAGTAGGTGCCAGAGTTCTTCCACAACAGGAGCAGGCTCATTTGGGATCACTCCTCTCCCTATTCCAGCAAAGCAAGCTTCCTTGGTGGGGGCATGCTGCAGGGGGCCCAGGGGACAGTGCTCCAGCAAAGAATAGATTTCCTAGTCCACAAGAGTCCTAGGAAGCAGAAAAGCACAGAGGAACAGCAGGCTTCCTCTCCATAGACATCTAGCTTTTTACCAAAGGGGAGGTTCCAGTCCAGAGTTTCAGAAGTCCTGCCCCAACCCCCCATCCAGAATCTCCCTTTGCAGTGTCCTAATCCCTGGAACCCCTCTGCAGTATGTATGGAGATGTTCAAGCTTTTATAAACCAAGTGAGGCCCATTCTCTTTCCTTTTCAAGCCCTTCCATCACTGCGGCTGTCCAAAATTCTGCCAAGTACGAAAATTAGTGTCTGGCTCTAATAAGTGTATGAGAAGATGTTTCAGTCTTCTCTTCTTGACTGCCAAAAAATTCAGTGCTTTTCCCAAGCACCACCCACCCCACACTACCTGTCAACAAAGGGAGGTTTGGGTTACTTATATGCGCCTCTGAATACCACTTGCCCTAGGCGTGCTTTTCACCCAGCAGTCCTCTTCCCCATGCTCAGATTTAAAGGGGAAGCTGGACGACATGGAGGAGCTGCAGGGACAGAGGCGCAGCTGAGGGAGTGGCTGTGGCCATGTAACCTCTCCAGATCTGCTCCTTGGCTTCCTCTCCTGAGGCCAGCCTTCCCCAACAGAACAATGAGCAGTGGCCACTGTGGTATCCCAGCAGTGGAGCAGCTCCCTCACCCCTAGGGACTGATCTGACTCTCAAGTGCTCTTCTTCCTTTGAGGACAGCCACAGCCAAAGCCATGAGTACATTGCCTCTTTCTGCCCTCAGCCCAAGTGACTCGGGCTGGCAGGGCAGACCCCGGCTTTTCTGGTCCTGGTGCTCCCTACAGGGATGTCACCTTGATCTTGTTTAAGTGGCCAGGTCTTGGGACTCCCCAATTCCTCTCACCAGTATGGAAAGCACAGAATCCAACTGCCTGTGAAGAGGGCACCTGACCTAGGAGTGATCCCCAGGCTTGTGCCCAGGCCTCTTAGCCCAAAGCACAACCTCAACCATTGCAGGTATCATGGCTTCAGTAAGAATGGTGCCAGGAAGCCCTAAAACCAAGAGGGAAGCTCTGTAGAAGCTGTCTAGCAGAGCCCCAAGCCAGCCATGTCCACCCCAGAGCCAAGAGGAACCTCCAGGTGGAACTGAGAACTGGTAGCAGGCTCTAGCAGTCCTGCAGACTCGTCCTCTTCAACCCAGCAGAGTAAAGGCAGATATATACTTGGCACTAAAATACAGAACAACCTTGATGCCAGAACTTCAGGACATCCTAACAGCAGCGCCTGTAGTCCCTTCTTACCCGCCCCCACGCCCCTTTACAGTGAACTAAAATTGCTACTTTCTCCATGCCGCATTGTTTGAACTTGCCCAGGATACCTCTCTGGGCCCCTGGCTGCAGCCCTGACAACAGAGATCTCCTTGAGTGAGGGATATTAATGTATCTTGCTAGTTCTCAACAGCTCGGCCCTGTAGTAGGGTGGGACTGGGCATTTTCTCTCTTGTTGCTTTTTTGCTGCCACTGTTTTTGGCAACCTTGAATGGAAAAGAAAATGAACAGGTTACAGAATTTCCGTTAGACCCAACTAGCACAAAGGAAAAGCCCTTTCCCTCTGATACACGTGCCCCAGAGCATGGAGAGGTGGTCAGGTCTGGTCTGGGCCAGTAGCTAAGAAGCCCAATCACATTGCAGTCTGTATAGCACTGGGTTGGCATGACCACAGATGAGAATAGCAATGCATGAGTAGTAAGGTCTTTCTGTGTCCATGGTGAAACTGAGGCCTTCAAGCTTAGTCTCTAGCCATTGAGGATGGGCTATGATCTGTCTCCCAGCCAGACCCAGGCTTGTGAGGGGAGCTCTGAGAGCACTTGAGTAACAATGGAGGATCCAGCGCCCTTTGTTCCCTCATGCCCTTCCCATGTGCTTTTCTGAGGAAGGTTACTGACAATAAACTGAGGGAAACACCCCAAGCCCTGTCTTCCCATCGCTACAGCTGCATGCTCCTGCCTGTGGCTCAGCCTGCAGAGGCACTCCAGAAGGAGCTGACTCCCAGAGGCTGGGCACAGTGGAAATCATAATAAAGAGGTTGTGATGTTAATTTGGCTTCCTGTTTCTGTTTGGGGAAACTGCCATTTCTGTGTGGTTTCCTATCATAAAACAGGGGCAGCTGTGGCCTCCAGGAAGAATGCAATGCACTGTGGCTCTCTTCTACAGCTTTCCTAGCCCCTCACCCTCCCAAAAATCAAGTGATGGGTGGGGGTAGGGGCACCACACATACAGATACAGAGATACAGGTACCTATCCGCCACAGATACAAAGGGGAAACAGGAGCACTAAAGGAAAGAGCCAGAGCTTTTGAAGAAATTGAGGAAAATGTAGTAAATTGGCCTCTGAGCCTGCCTGCTGTGTATTGTCCCCGTTACCCACCAAGGGCAGGCTTTAGACACTTTTCTCAGTTTCTTCTGAGCTACAAAGTAGAGAAACTACTTAGCTGTGTTCTCCTGGTTTTGTGGGCCCTCCCTGGTCTGAGAGTTTCCTCCCCATCTTTAGAAATGATTTTAATGTGATATGATAGGATTGGAAAAATTAGGTCTGGAGAAGCATTTAGAGGACTGTGGAATCCCCATTCATCCCTTTTACGTGGTGAGAACAGACCAGTACCTGTAGGTGTGAGGGCGTATCTAGGCTGTGGGTCAGAGGCAGATACTCTACCTCCAAAACCATAGCAGGTCCCAAATACAAATAATTACTAACATTTTTGAACACTTACTATGCAGTGGGCAGTTCTAAGTGGTTTGCATAAGGTAATTAATTTTCAAAACAACCTTATGAGATTTGTTTTATAGATGAAAAAAGTGAGGAACAGAGAGGCTAAATTTCTCATGGTTACACAGTCACCCAGCTAGGCAGTGGGGTACCTTCAGCCCCCACGTTCTTAGCCACTTTATTGCACTTCCTGTCAAAGTACACCTCAAGGGAGCCTCCCCTTTTCACCCCCAGCAGTAGACATAGGTAACCAGGCCTATAGCCATGTCACAGATTTCTTACACCCACTGCACAACTCACCCCACTCATTTACCGGACTCCCATACCTCTCCTCCCTGGTGTTTCCCTATGGGGGTCCATCAGACTGAGGCAGCTTAATGACATCCCACCAGCCCCTTAAGCATTGGAACAGAACTAGGGGCATAAAGGCTGGGTCTATGTGGACCTTAATGATAAGTAAGTTTTCCCCACCCTCAGTCCAGCAGTCCTGGATGGAACTTTAGACCCTCCTAGGACTATTCCTCCCATCAACTGACACTTGCTCCAAGGGCTGCCTGGAGCCTCAGTTTCACACAAACCTCCACCCAACCTGTCCTGCTCTGGCTCAAGTGCACTCACTTTTTATCCCTAGGGAAAGTCATTCCCCAAAGGAAAACAGTGGCCGCTAAATTTGCTAAACATGGAGTAATTAGTATTCTCTCTCCTGCTCCACCCTTTCCAGGGATTGCTTGGAGTTTGACCTTGCTGAACCTGTTTCCTCATCTGTAAAAATCCAGAAAACAGTCCCTGTCCTGCCTGCCCACTGGGCTGGTAGTTAAGTGAGAACACAATGAGTCTGGTAAGAGGAGAGAGCATTATACACTGAAGGGCATGGAGTGAGCAGCAAGAGTTTCTGCTGTATCTGAAGGCTGTGAGCGTTATCATCTTCCATCCTCGCACAGTCCCAGGCATAGCTGTTGTACCGCCAGTGGCCTCTGTCCACAGTGCTGAAGTCACAGCTAAGCAAGCTGGGGACCTTCGGTCCTCCTTTGTCTCACCTTTAAGTAAACATCAAGTTCAGAAATTTCCAAATCCAAGGAGCCCTAAAATTCAGAAAGTGTTGCCAATTTTTTAAAAAAATTTCAAATGTCTTTGTTTTTAAAAATAAATATATTACTCTTTTCAAAATCATAACAGGTACAAATGGGCAAGAGGTGATTTAGCAGCTCAGGGAGAAAAAGTTTGTGGTCTTAACTTGGTGTGGGAGAACAGTATGAGGTGTATGCCAAAAAGCAAACTGATGTGATTTGAGGTTATGAGGAAAGAGGTTCAGAGTCAAAGGAGGGAGACAGGCCGCCTTGTATACCATATGCTGCGCCAGCACTCTCAGAAGAAGCTAATCAGAGCCAGGCACCACAAACTGAAACACATTCAGGAGAATGTGGTCTCAGCAGCTGGAATTGAACAAGGCAGGGGAGGCACCCATGAAGGAAGGCATAAGTACGAGAGAGGAGCAGACCTGAGGGATGCAGATGGCTGACGTTTGGCAGAATGGGGCCGATGAGGTCAATGTGGTCTCAAAGATAGAGCTAAGATGAAAGGTGGACACTACAGAAAGGCAAATTTCTGCTCGCTAGAACCACAAGATAACTGGATACCGGGGAAGGCAGTGAAGCTGTATAAGCATGTGACAGAACTGTTGAGTTGGGGGCAGGATACTTTACCAGGTATCAAGTCCTTTTGAGACCTGAGATGGCAGTAAACAATCAAGTATCTTCTGCTGCATGCCCAGCCATAAGTCTTGCTAAGTCGGAGGGAGAAGATCCATTACTTTAAGGACCCACATGACCCCAAAGTTTTAGCATCAAAACTCGGGAACTTGGGGCCGGCCCGGTGGCGCACTGCTACAGTGCTCCGCTTGGGAAGCGCGGTGGCGCTCCCGCCGAGGGTTCGGATCCCACATACAGACCGGTTCCTGCTCACTGGCTGAGCGAGGTGCGGGCGCAACACCGAGGGTTGCGATCCCATTGCCGGTCCCGGTCCGGTATGGGCGCGACACTGAGGGTTGCGATCCGTTGCCGGTCACGAAAAAAGACAAAAAACTCGGGAACTTTTCATTTCTTTAGTTCACAGGAGGGTTTTTGGAAGTTTGCCTTGAGAACGCGATATTGCACGCCCTCTGCTGGTCATGCCTAGTACTGTCCTCTCTCCCCAAAGCAGGAAACCCCTTTAAACCTTGATGGTCAGTGTAGCAGGTTCTGAACATGCAGGACCTACCTGAGAGTACCAGAGAGTAAAGTCCCCCAGTCAGTGCTCAGTCAGTGTATTGCATCAGAGCCAAATCTTAGGATGAGTTCAAGTATATGGTGTCAAAATTAGGGCTCAGCCATGTCTAGGAGGAGAGCTTAGGCTGAGGCTGGATTTGGGGAACTTTTTCATCCACGACTAGGATCAGGTTTGGTGTCTCAGGCTGAGGCCAAAACTGAGAATGGGTGGGACCAAAGTCTTGGCTCGAATGTCAGCATGAAGCATGTATCAGGTGAGATGCTAAGAGTCTGACTACAAGAAGGAGTCAGCCTGTATCCAAGGTAATGGGTCAATGTAGCAGGTGAAATCATCAGATAATAAGCACCCAGTCACTGGAGAGCTCAATCAGGGATACTGCCCAGGGGAGAGGTATGAGGGATGGTGGACAGGATGAGGTAGTCACTGTTCTCTAAGGACCTCCTAACTTTAAAAATGTTAATGGACAGACTGAGGAGCCCCCTTTCTCCTCAGAAGGTGGATCCCAGTATCCTAGTTCCAGCTTCCTGTTAAAGCCTCCACCCCCACTCTAGTGCTACCACATAAAAATCACAGGTAAAATTTAGGGAGAGGAGAGGCCCAAGGGCCAGTCTTGTTGCTGCAGACAGGTGGCAGCTGTTGGGGTAGTCTTTCCCCCCACCCAGAGTTCTCTGTTTCTACTGGCAACAGAACCTGGCAGCCTCCCACACCCTGATCTTAGCAACCATGGCAGCCCCTGGCAACTGCTGCCATGGTGACAAGACAGAGAACTGAGAACAGGCTGGGGGGGGGACACTTCCTCTGGAGCCTTTGGTATGTGTGCAAGATAGGGGGCTTCCCCTCCCATACACGGTCTGGGAGGGAACATGTGCTCTTGTCTAAACACCTCCTCACTGGCACCCACCCCCACCTCCACCCACAGGTTCCGGTTCCCTCAGGGTGAGGAAATAAGGGACACCTAGGGTTATGACGTACGTCTCCATGGGAAGGGAGGGCAAGTGGGGGTGTTTGGAACTGACTGGATCACAGATGCATGCATACACTGGCAGACATGGCGTCAGCATGTCACATACTTCATCCACTCTGTCACGTGGATAAATGCTTACACAGTCACTTAACCGCACATGTACACAGACACAAAATCACATACCCACAGCAAATAACAGAATCAGGCACAGTACCACACAAAAGTAAGTAAACAGCTACACTCTCGCTCAGGAACCACATTACTGACACAGTACACATAACCCCCGATCAGACCCACACATTCATAGGCGCACTCACACAGTCGGTATCTGTGAACACACAGAGTAATGGTTAACTTGTTTGAGCATTAACTACATGCCAAGCTCAGAGCTGAGTACATTACGTGTTTTACCTTAATTAACCCTCACTACCACCCTGTGAAGACCTGCTGTTGTCTGTCCCCATTTAAAAAGGAGGAAATGAGCATGAATGTGCCAAGTAACCTCACAAGGTTAACGGTCCAACTCCAGGGCCCACATTCTCACACCCTGCACCGCACTGTGCACCCTGTTTCCTTGTAATCACACCTAATGCCCAGGGCAATCGGACAGAGGGTAGCAATAGTAAGCCAGGCAGACAACGGAGTCTGTGCCACCACCAACACCTGAAGGCACCCTCAAAGGTCAAGCCTACACTTTAGCATTAGCAGGGGCCAGGTAAGGGCTGGTGACTAAACTCTCTGCTTCTGTCTTGGCACAGGCAGGGCTGGAGGATGCAAAAGAGACAGAACTGGAATAGTAAGAAGCAGAGCTACCCACAGCCCTGGCCCCCATGAGTCCGGAGGTGGGGGAGTGAGAGCCCCCAGATCTGAGAAGCCAGCACGGGTCCTGGGCCCCCTCATGCCACCTGTGCCACCTCCATATCACACTATTCCACTCCCTGATCACCCCACCTCACCTCCCTTCCTCATCTCTCCTCACCTCATCTCTCTGTCCCATTCTTTTGCTGCTCACCCCATCTTCCCTCCCTTCTACTCCCCGGCCCCCACCCCACCTCCCATTCCCTCCTCATCTCATTTCCTCTCCCTTCCTTACTCTCTCTGTC